TTGACGACTTGAGGAGTAACGAGACTCATTAACCCTATCCTCGATACATTGTGGGTTTCCATGTCATCGATTTGTCCGTTATGCCTGAAAATACACAGAAAAACAACCAAGAAGAGATCGGATGGTATGCTGGGGTATGCGTGTTATTCGTTAGTGTCTAATGGTATGGCAACTAATTCAGCCTAAAGCACACCTGGGGATACCTGTTGCTTGCTAAGCATTTCTAAGCTGTTGCAACCACATTAGATAGATTTGAAAATGTAGAAGAGAGCAGGAAGACACTGTCATTCCTCTATTAAATCTTTTTCAGCAGTCGATGAAGCAGAAGTTATTGCTTTATAGTGGAAAGCTAGCCTGATAACTGGTAGAAAATTTCTGTACCCATGTCTTTTCAATTCTTAAGAGGTGATCTTTTTTTTTTCAGCAATGTTTATTGTCATCAAATAATCGATTGGCTACCTTACGCGAAGTTTTATATGAGTAATGATCACAATATGAACTGATCCCCCAGAACCAACCCTAATGTCAAATCAGTCCGAATCCGGCGCAAAATATGACAGCTACGAGGCCGATTCTGACAGGGCGTATATCGTTACCCGAGTAAAAGGTCACAAGCGGTTTTCACCTATCACCTGCCTTGGTAGGCTTACCTCGAAGAGAATTCCTCTCCCACATCTGTGTTTACTATACCTTTGCGTTGGGTGTGGCCCACTATATGTTAAAGCGATGTCCTTGCAATCGCATAGGTGCAAATAATCGTTTTAGTGATAGACAGCAAGAATCTAATGGACGTCTTACGTTGAAATCACGTCCGATTAGCGCAGTTAATCAGCTTCCAAACTAATCTGCTGTTTACCCACCTGTCCACCGTGTCAAGATGCAAGTCAAGGTGAGTTTAATGTCAGAGTGACGTACAGACAATCGAGGACAAACCTTAACCAGTCCCCGCAGGTACTATCACGTTGACGTTGCTGTTCACTAACCCTTTCTGTTTAGTATCTGTCTCTATATCTGAGATGAGGTATTATGTACACTATTTACATTATTCGGACTATTGTCCTCATCTTTGTTGCCATATTTATTACAACGTTTCCGCCTTTCAGTATCTGTCTATATTTCTGAGATGAGGTATTATGTACACTATTTACATTATTCGGACTATTGTCCTCATCTTTGTCGCCATATTTATTACAACGTTTCCGCCTTTCAGTATCTGTCTATATTTCTGAGATGAGGTATTATGTACACTATTTACATTATTCGGATTATTGTCCTCATCTTTGTCGCCATATTTATTACAACGTTTCGGCTCTTCAGTATCTGTCTATATTTCTGATATGAGGTATTATGTACACTATTTACATTATTCGGACTATTGTCCTCATCTTTGTCGCCATATTTATTACAACGTTTCGGCCGTTGTAAGATCCGGCCTTCTTCAGGTGATTGGAATGTCGAACTGAACCCCAGTAAGCGAAATAAAGCGTTCAGTTCAACATTCCAACCACCTGAAGAAGGCCGGGGCGTACAACGGCAAGAAACATTGTAATAAACATGGCGACAAAGATAAGGACAATAGTCCGAATAATGTCAATAGTGTACCTTTCTGTTTAGTAAGGAGGTGTTGTTGGAATCGTCGGGACTAAGCATCCTTCAACACTCTTCAGTGAACTACGCGAAAATAGAAACACTACAGTGACTAAGAAACAGTTGCTACGTATTGATCCCATACATGTGACGCCCATCAATATTTAACAATCACCCTCAACGGCGATAGAAGGCTACACAATGTCAGAATGGCGTGCATACAAATCAAGGAAAATAATTCCCCGGTCTTCTCGACTACTGTCACGCTGACTTTGTTATTCACTAATCCTCTCTGATTAGTATAATGAAGGAGGTGCTGCCACAGCGTTGGAAGCCCCGGGATCAAGCATCCTTCAAGGACGTAAATTACGCAAAAGCAGAGATATGGCATGGAGAAGAAAACAGTTGCTACGCTTTGATTTCATACCGAAGGTCGGGCAAAAGGCCATCAATATTTATCAATCTCCCCGCAGTCGGTGTAACGTATGGTTGCCATGGAGAAAACTTTCGCAGTGTCATGCTGGCGTTGATATCCACCAACCTTGCCTCTTTTGTGCAATGAGGAGGTGCTACGGCAGGAATAGAATCCCCAGGACTGGTCATTCCTCATAATTTTCAAAGGAACAGAGAAATAAGATTACGTTTTCGTCCCACAAAACTCCTTTCATATAACTTGGCAATCAATCATAAAAGACCCCAGGGCGCATGCATAGCAAACACTCTCCTATGTGGTTACTCAGTCGACAGTGAAAGCCCATTGAGCATATATATATTGTGTGAATGTCAAATCACACAGGTAAAAGCGCCGATTTCACTTTATAACAGAATATAATGTCGGATTAAACAATCAATTAATTGCTTTAAAATAACGTTTATGTTTTGGGTAAGAAAATAAAGACAAAATGGACTTCGA